ATAACGGCCAGGGTAATTTTTTTTCAGAAAATCCAAAAACACGTCAATTTTGTTTGTGAGGGGGACAACTTTTGCCCCAAAAATCATTGCAAAATGTTCAACCCTCTAAGCGGGGGTGTCATCCCCCAACTTTTTTCAAATGTGAAGGGGGGTCAAGTGGCACCGCAATGAAAAGAGCTTTCTATTCTCTATATTTCCCCCTCATAAATCGGTCGAGTCATTGGGAAAATATGAAGGATTGAAATTTGAAAAGTTTATTTAAACATTTATCTCCAATACCAATATGACCAATATGCTGTTTTTTCTTACTATTTCTAGATGTTTACGCATTTTTTCACTTGCCACAAGGTTGAACGATCAGGTGCGGTAGTTGCTAGATAGCTGTTCTGTGACTTGTGCGTTGAAGTTCTTCTCAATATCGTTAAACTTTTTAACAATTATGGTGTACTCACTTGCAGAAAAAGTAGATATAATCGAATTTTATTTTAAAAATAATGAATGTGGCAATCGGTTTGCGTAGATATTCAATGAACGCCATCCTGACAAACACCTCTATGGCAAAATTGTTCGCGATTTAGAAGCAAAATTTCACGAAACTGGTTCCGTTATGAATAAAAAGAGGCAGAGGGAAAATCCTGTAGTAAATGAAGCTATGGAGGTATTCGTATTGGGCCAAGTTGCCATAGGTAGTACGCTGAGTACAAGAAAATTAGTCAATGAGACCGCGACCGGTGTGAATCGTACAAGTGTCCAAACGATATTAAAAAAACACAAGTTCCACCCGTACAAAATTCAGTTGGTACAAGAACTCAACGAAGACGATTTTGATCGTCGCGGGCTGGTATTTTTGGAAATTCTATTGTAGGTCAGTTTAACGATATTGAGACCGCACCTGATCGTTCAACCTTGTGGGAAGTGAAAAAATGCGTAAACATCTAGAAATAATAAGAAAAAGCGGCAAATTGGTCGAAGGAATTTATCCTTATCATTTAGTCTGATAAATGTTTAAATAAACTTTTCAAATTTCAATCCTTCATATTTTCTCAATGACTCGACCGATTTTCAAAAACGAAGCGGGGAAATATAGAGAATAGAAAGCTCTTTTCATTGCGGCGCCACTTGACCCCCCTTCGCATTTGAAAAAAGTTGGAGGATGACACCCCCGCTTAGAGGGTTGAAGATTTTGCAATCATTTTTGGGGCAAAAGTTGTCCCCCTCACAAACAAAATTGACGTGTTTTTGGATTTTTTGAAAAAAAAATATCCTGGCCGCTATGTCTTGCGGAACGTTTTTGATGGACCACCCCGTATAAAATCCTTAAGTGACTGACTCACTGATTAATCACGATCCTGCTCAAACCACTCAACGTAAGAAGCTCAATTTTGGCATACAGGTTGATTCTATGGTGTAGAGGTTCGATAAGAAGGGATTTTTCGAAATTCCAGTTTCAAAGGGGTGAAACCACCCCTCAAATATTACAATATTTTTTATTTAAAAAACGGTCAAGTTTTCGAAAAAACGCTTAAACACGTATATTTTATTTGGTTTTTTTACATATTTTAATATTTTTTAAAAATGTATACAGGGTGTTTCGAAAAATCTGGTCATTGATTAATCACGCTCATTAATCACATGCTCAAAGCGCTTGACGTAAAAAGCTGATTTTTGGAAAACGGATTGACTTTAGGGTGTAGAGGTTCGGTAAGAAGGGATAACCACCCCTCAAATATTAGAATATTTTTTATTTAAAAACCGGTGAGTTTTTCGGAAAAACTCTTAAACACGTATATTTTACTTTGTTGTTTTACATATTTTAAGATTTTTGAAAAATTTATACAGGGTCTTTCATAAAATATGACCATTGGGTAATAACGATTCTGCTTAAACTGCTTGACGTTTAAAGCTGATTTTTGGTAAACGGAGTGACTGCGGGGTGTAGAGGTTCGATAAGGAGGGGTTTCTCGAATCTCAAATTCCAAGATTACAATATTTGTTATTTAAAAAACGGTTAGTCTTTCAGGAAAACGCTGGGACAAGCATAATTTATTTTGTTTTTTACATATTTTGAAATTTTTAAAAAAATCATACAGGGTTTTCCAAAAAGTCGGGTAATAATAATCGGGATTAACCACGATTCTGCTTAAACTGTTTGACGTAAAAAACTTATTTTTGGCAAACGGATTTTTCAAAAGTCAAATTCCAACGAGATGAAACTACCCCGCAAATATTACCAAGTTTTCTATATAATTTTTTTACCATTTCAAATTTTTTCGCAAATCCAGTTTTAATGGAAATTCTTGCTTTGCTTTATCATCACCATTACAAATGTTTCGACGCGAACGAAGTCGCGGGTACACCCTAGTATATTTTATAAATCCCTACCTAAATAGAAGCGGCAGAGAGTCCATATGGACTTGACGAATATGTCACCGCAAAATACTGCGCCATTGGCTACTTGCAAATTTGTCGAATTTTTATTGATGGGACGCGTCGTCTAATTTTTTACGAGAAACATCGAGATAATATCGTTTCTCCCCTTACGGATGCTCCGTAGCTACAGAACGGATAGATACCCTAAAACACTTCTCGAAAAAATTACAGCCCTCGAAAAGTGAAATAAAAATAATATATTTTGTTTATTTTTTTAAGAACCTCGGTAAACCGTTTTTCTTGAAATTTGGTACTCTTACACTATTTTGGACAACCTGTATATAAAATTATCTAAAATAATTATTGCATTAATCGTAATTTGCAAACAAACGCGACGCCGTTTTTTTATCGTACAGTGTTATAAAATAAATAAAACCATATATTAAATAAGAACAATTTATTAAACAGCATGTATTATAAATCACAATAGCTTGACACTGAAATTAAGTTAAAATTGGTAATACTCTATAGTTTATAATACATCTTAAAACTAAAAATGGTAACATAAATATTTAGTCACAGAGTGGGTGATTTTGGATGTGTAATAAAAATTGACACCAGACTCCTGAGAGAGATTTTTAGATATTATATACCTATTATTTAAAACTATAATATTTTTATTGATAATGTCACAGCTAACTATGAGTTTTTTTGTAAAAAAGTTTAATTTTTTGGTTACAATTTGTTTTATTACAACATCGATATTTTCTCCCCTGTACTTTATACCTACAATAATATCATTAATGTATGATCTTGATGGAAGTAGTATTACATAAAACATTATAAAGATCGAAATGTGATAGGTGTATCTATTATGCAGGGGGGGGGGGCAAAATTAAAGAAAGGAACATCATTTTAAGCGCATGCTGAATTTTTAACAGGAAAATATAATTTTTTACATGGAAAAAGTGAGAGTATACAAGGTTCGGCAATAGTGCGTCGGGCATCTGTAGCTCCTAAAATAAAAAACTTGAGAATTTTGTTTAAGTAAAAATCTAAAGTATGTACCAGGATGTATTTCCGGAAAATATTTTAACTTCTATAGGGTGGCTTAAAAAAGTGTGAGTGGATCTGGATGATTTTTTTTAATGGAACATTAAAAAAAATAACAATAATAATAATTGAAATATTACTGCGTGTATCCGGAAAACTATTGAAAATTTTGAAATACTTTAAATACAAAAAATGTTCATTTTTTAATTCTCCATCAAATAAAAAAATAATATACAGGGTGTTCCATTTATAAAAACCAAATAAAATTATTTTATATTTTTGAAAGTTTGGCGTAAAATACTGAACATCCTGAATGATTTACGATTACCATATTTATAGCAAAGCAAAAATAGATCATCTAAAGTAAATATCTAATGTAGTTTTGATTTCAGAACGGTTCTTGTATTTTTAATATTTTTTTTAAGAAGGGTTGAAAAATATATATTTTTGATTTATTTTTTAATATCTCTGAAACTATTGAAATAGATTTACTCATATCTTAGGACTATGTAAAGTGATCTGAAAGGAAGCGAAAAATGCAATAATATAGAGGGTGTTTCATTTAAAAAAAATCATCCCGATCCACTCACACTTTTTTGAGCCACCCTATAGAAGTTAAAATATTTTCCTGATATACATACTAGTACGTACTTTAGGTTTGCACTTAAACAAAATACCCAAGTTTTTTATTCTAGGAGCTACAGATGCCCGACGCACTATTGCCGGACCCTGTATACCGGGTGCGTCTCAAAAGTGGCTTAGCACTATAAATTTTTTATTTTTTCCGATAAAAGAACGTACGTTAGTATATGACATAAATTGGGATTGATTGACATATTCAAATGTTTTCGGTCACTTCCTGTTTCACCGTAAATGACTACAACTTCTGATTTATAAATAGCACCCTTCGTATTTTTTTTACTTTATTCGATTGAAAATGACACTCTGAATCGAATGACATATCATATGTCAGCTTTTGACATGTTCGCTCAAAAACAAATTGTATTTTAAATTTCATTCTAGAGCGTCATGACTGTGTTAACAACACTAATTTTTAATCAAGGAGCCTTGGAAAAATAGACTTGATCGTCTAATGTTTTTAGTGTCTTGTCCTGGCCGGTTAAAAGATGCCCAAATCGTATTTTTAATCATATCTCAATTTTTTCAAATGGAACTAGGGTGGCTCATTAGCATATTTTGAAAAAACATTTTTTTACTAATAAATTGATACCAGACACTTGGTATTTCGAGTCAAATTGTCGTTATGAACCGCATGTTACAATTTCAAATAAACTATATGCGAAAATGTCAAAAGTTGACATAATATGATATGTCATTATATTGAGAGTATCATTTTTTATCGAATAAAGTAAAAAAAATACCGAGGGTGTCATTTAAAAATCAAAAGTTGTCATTTCCGATGAAACCCGAAGGGACAGAAAACAATTGAATATGTAAATCAATGCCAATTTATGTCATATTCTAATATACCAAATCTCGTTTTTTTTTATCTGAAAAAATAAAAATGTTATAGGGGGTGAACCACTTTTGAGACGCACCCGGTATATGATAGTGACAGTGTTTGTATGTTATTTTAATTCAAATGTAATATCATATAAAAAAATGTTATACTTAATTTTTTGATTATCGTCTATCGAAACAACCTTTTTTTCGCTGACTTTCGATATGTCTTTATCAACAATAATTATTAATATAAGCACACGAAATCGTATTGTTTAAATTAAAGAACAACTTGTATTTTAAAATCTCTGGCCTTTTGAGAATTCAATCATTAATATAATACTTTCTTAACAGTAGAATGCTTGAAAATTAATTTCAAGCATATCTACTCGAAGTTTTTTAACTTTAAAAAACTTATTTGATTTTCTTAACTACATTTTCGCTCTAGACATTTAGTAGTAGGTAATGGCTTGAGGAGGTAGCCTGGGTATAGGGTCGCCGAACCCAGATTGGGGTAACTGACTAGGATGTACTGCCTCTACCTGGACTTGAGGAACTGTAGGAGTAGCATAACTCATTCTGGTCTTCAGCGGCCTAATCCTGCGACTTGGGGATCCAAAACCTGCGTTTCTGGGATCCAGTGGTTCATACCCGTTACGATCTACAAGTAAATAATACCGTATGATCGAATAAAAACGGCGTCAGCGATGGCTTTGAAATGAAGATTGCTGTCATTTTATATGTAAAATTATATGGGAAATGTCATCGATCGTCATTTCCAAGCCCTGACTAAAAGTAATCAAATTAAATCTAATTGTGATACAGTAAACACCAAATACTCACCGGCAAAAAAAAACGGCCACTAAAAACTAGTCTCAATTTTAAAGTTGGATTTCTCGAGGGCCACTCATTAGATTTTTATGATTTTTTTTCAATTGTAAATTAATTCCTTCTTAACGGATGCTACGTCAGAAATTTCTATTCCGAATTTATTTTGAGCATATACAGGGCACAACAATAAGACGAAGTTTTTTGCCCGAATTTTGTAACACCATGTAGGATGCAGCAGCTGTAGTACCTGTAGTAGTTATTGCTAAATCAAATCACATTGTATAGCCTCATCTTTTGTGAGTATTTTGTTTTTTTAATCACGACATTACCTCTGTTTGTACTGGAGATACGCTGCTTTAAAACGAAAGTCTCGGAAAAATGCTTCGCAGGCAGAGAGTTCTATCTATAAATAATCAAGGCGACATAGACGAAAAGGGATTTATGAATATTTGCAATATGACAACAACGGTTGTCAACTTAAAAAAAATGCCAATATCTGTGACGGATGTTGCTCGTATTGTGGCTTTAATTGAGGATGGCCGAAGTCAACGTTATGTGTCCGATACCCTGGATATACCTCGAACAACAGTCCAGGATGCCTGGAATCGGTATATGGAAATGGGAAATTTCACCAGGCGAGTGGGTTCCGGAAGAAAACGGAAGACAAATGCAATTGACGACTGCTTTATTATTCTGAATACTTTACTAAATCTTAGAATTACAGCGTTTCAGAATCAACATCTGCTACAAGCCGTGCGTAGAACTCAAGACAGTGCGAGAATACTAAAAGAAAGACTCCGACGAAGACTAAAAGAAAACAGCTTGTCTGCAAGGAGGCCTGCCGGTGAGTGTTTACTTGAATTCCTCTTAGCATGCAATCTTGAAGTTCTCAATGTAGGGAACAGCCCCACGTTTGTGACAAAAATGCGGGCAGAAGTGTTAGATTTAACAATCGGGAGTGCTGGTGTAATCAGTTACGTGAAACAATGGAGGGTCTCAACGGAACCCTCCCTATCAGATCACAGAATCATCGAGTTCAAATTAGGAGGAATCACACCCCAAACAGAAACCCGAAGGAATCCAAGAAAAACAGACTGGGACATGTATAACACCAATCTCGTAGACAACCTAAACCGTATAGATGCAAGTAGGGCCAGAAACCATCTGCATCTAGAATGGTACGCAAGGGAAGTCAGCGGTGCAATATTGGATGCATATGAATCTAGTTGCCCCGCAAGTAAAGGCATACAAAAAAGTAACAACAAGCCCTGGTGGAACAAGAAATTGGCCAAACTTAGATCGGAGGTCCGACGACTCTTTAATAGAGCTAAATCCAGTTGCGAATGGCAGCTCTACAGCGAGAAATTAACTGAGTATAAGAAGGAGATAAGAAAGGCAAAGGGGTCTGACTTTAGATCCTTTTGCGAAAACATCACTTCTACTCCTGTTGCAGCTAGATTACACAAAGCTATGGCCAAGAGTGGATCTATCCCCAACATGGCACTTAAGAAATCTGACGGAAGCTACACGGAGGGAGAGGAAGATAGAGCAAATCTCCTACTTTATACACACTTTCCAGGTAGCATACCTATTGATACTTATGTAGCTCCCACTGAACCCCACAATCCTTGCAGGGAAGATTGGGAAGTGGCCAAGCTAGTAATAACAGAACAAAAGCTGAAATGGGCGATCGACGCCTTTCAGCCCTATAAAACAGCAGGAGTGGATGGGATCTTTCCTGCCCTTCTAAAGGAGGGTCAGCAAATATCTACTCACCATCTACTAAGCATTACAAGAAGCAGTCTAGCGATGGGATATATACCAACCACATGGAGAAGAGCAAAAGTAATCTTCATACCCAAAATAGGCAAAACTGACTGGACAAATCCCAAATCATTTAGGCCTATTAGTCTCACATCGTTCATACTAAAAACGCTGGAGAAAGTAGTTGACAACCATATTGGAGAAAATCATCTAAAGGTTAAACCACTGCATGATAGTCAGTATGCATATAGAACGGAGTACCAATTAACGGAGCTAATACAGACAAGTCTGGATAGCAAAGAAACAGCAATTTGTGCCTTCTTGGATATTGCGGGGGCGTTTGACAATATACCACATAAGGTGGTCAGGCGATCTCTAGAAACAAGAGGGGTGAACAGAACTATTATTCGCTGGTTTTGGGAAGCGAAACGCTTGCCCAGCAGTTAAAAGACCATACCATAACTTGGTATACTGATGCTTCCAAAACCAATACGGGAACAGGGATCGGAGTGTTTGGGCCGAGAGCTAATTACTCCGAACCAATGGGCACTTACCCTAGTATCCTACAGGCAGAAATCTACGCTATCGAGAGATGCGTACAACTTATCTTAGATAGGAACTATCGGAAACAAGAAATAGCCATCTTATCTGATAGTCAAGCAGCGTTAAAGGCGATCAACTCAGTATCAATCGATTTGAAATTGGTCAAAGAATGCATAGAGAAGCTGAATAAATTAGGCAAAGAAAACAAAGTCCTCCTACACTGGGTGCCTGCTCACCAAGGGATAGAAGGCAATGAAAAAGCAAATAATCTAGCTAGGAAAGGAGCGAACACTCCACTAACTGGACCAGAACCGTTCTGCTTTCCAAGTGGTAACCAACTCAAGGCGGAACTCAAGAACTTGGAAGATTCCATCCGCAACCTGGAATGGAAATGTTGCAATGGTCTAAGACACTCGAAGAAGTTTCTGATGGCTTATGATCAAGAAAAATCACAGATCTTCCTGGGTCTGAGTAAGAACAATCTTCGGATTATCACGGGGTTTTAACAGGACACTGTCTCCTCAATGAACACCTCGGTAGATTGAAACTAAGAAGAAACGGCGAATGCAGATTCTGTGGGGAAGATGGGGAAACACCAGTACACCTCATCACTGAGTGCGCCGAGACGACAACCATTCGTGCCATGAATTTTGGTACGACTGATATTGGAGATGGAGAACTACCCTCTATAAAACCGTCCCAGATACTGGCTTCTGTCAAAGCCCTGGGACTGTATGATGAGTTATGATTCAAGAAAGGGGGACACAATGGATCTGTAAGGTCGAAGTGATTAACCCCCCTCCCATTCATTCTAAAATTCTAAAAAAAAGGAGGCCTGCCACAGGACCCCAACTACTTCCAAGACATCGTCGAGCACGTCTTCAGTTTGCGCGTTTACATGTGAAATGGGATATTGAGTTATGGACGAAATCTTTTTTGGAGGCGTTTATTTTAAAGCAGCGTATCTCCAATACAAACAGAGATAATGTCGTGATTAAAAAAACAAAATGCTCACAAAAGACGAGGCTACAATGTAATTTGATATAGCAATAACTACTCACAGCTGCTGCACCCAACAGGGTGTTACAAAGTTCGGGCAAAAAACTTCGTCTTATTGTTGTGCCCTGTATATGCTCAAAATAAATTCGGAATAGAAATTTCTGACGTAGCATCCGTTTAGAAAGATTTAATTTACAATTTAAAAAAAATCATCAAAATCTAAAGAGTGGTTTGCGAGAAATCCAACTTTGAAATTGGGATTAATTTTTAGTGGCCGGTTTTTTTTGCCGGTGATTGTATACAGAGTGGTCCGAACTATATTTCGGAAACTTCGGCAGCATATTCTGCAGATAAAAATAAGTAAAAAAGTTCGTATAAATGTATGTCCTAAAATGCTTAGTTTCGGAGATACAGGGTGTAGAAGTTTCATTTTTATTTCAATTTTTTCCAAATACTATCTGAAGTAACGTCTATATTCGGATGAAAATTGGTGTCTGGAAGTTTTTTGATATGAGGAATTTGATTTTGATGTCAATATGACTCCTACTAGTAGAGGGCGCCACCTACATATTTTTAACTGATTTGAAGAGTAATCACTTTTCGTCCATATTTGTATAAAACTACTGAGTAAAAAAATATACATTTGCGACGTTTTTTACGTGAAGAAGGTCTCTTGGTAAAAATCGCTACGAGTAATGGTTTTCGAGATAATTGGAATCGAAATTATCAATACCTGTCATAATTGACATAAATTAAACATGTTGACTAAATAGTTATTAGACTAAAATCATAAATTTGAAAAGTTTTTGTGTCAAAAGTTCCACAGAAACTGTTTTATCATCATTTTTTGCAGAAAAATTTATGATTAATTTAAAAAAATAAAAATTTCCCAAATTTATTGTTTCAATAAAATAACTATCTACTCAACGTGTTTATTTTTCGTCAATAATGACATGTATTGTCTATTTCCATTCTAAATATCTTAAGAACGGTTGCTCGTAGCGATGTTTACAAAAAGATATTTTTTACGTAAAAAGTCACAGAGATGTATATTTTTCGCTCGGTAGTGTTATACAGGTACGAACAAAAAGTTATTACGCTTCAAAACGGTTAAAATATATGTGGCGCCCTCTACTAGTAGGAGTCATATTTACACCAAAATCAAATTTCTCATGTCAAAAAACTCCCAGACACCAATTTTCATCCAAATATTGACGTTACTTCAGAAATTATTTAGCAAAATCGAAATAAAAATTAAACCTCTACACCCTGTATCTCTGAAAGTAAACATTTTAGGACATACATTTATACGAACTTTTTTACTTATTTTTATCTGCAGAATATGCTGCCGAAGTTTCCGGAATACAGTTCGGACCACCCTGTATATGGCGTCTTTAGTATACAGGGTGGTCCGAACTGTATTCCGGAAACTTCGGCAGCATATTCTGCTGATAAAAATAAATAAAACAGTTCGTATAAATGTATGTCCTAAAATACTTAGTCTTTGAGATACAGGGTGTAGAAGTTTCATTTTTATTTCGATTTTTTCCAAATAATTTCTGAAGTAACGTCAATATTTGTATAAAAATTGGTGTCTGGGAGTTTTTTGACATGAGAAATTGATGAATTGTAGAGGGCGCCATCTACATATTTTTTAACTTGTTTGAAGAGTAATAACTTTTTGTCCATACCTGTATAAAACTACTGAGTAAAAAAATACAAATTTAAGACGTTTTTTACGTAAAAAAAGTTTCTTGGTAAAAATCGCTACGAGTAATGATTCTCGAGATATTCGAAATCGAAATTATCAATACATGTCATCATTGACATAAATTGAACATATATGTTGACTAAATTATTATTGGACTGAAATAATAAATTTGAAATGATTTTGTGTCAAAAGTACAACAGAAACTGTTTTATCATCATTTTTTCGAAGAAAAATTTGTAAAAAAAATCTAAAAATATAAAAAACCACGAAAATGTACAGCTGGTCCTAATAAAATTGAATACGATTTAAAACATATTTTTATTATTTCGGGCAGTATATTCTATGATACCAGTCCTCCATTTCTCTACTCATGTCATGCTGACATCCTGAAAAGTTTATTTGCCACTTTGTCAAAAGCAAATTTGTTTTATTCAATGTCACAATAACCTTAACATGCCAAAATACTTGACACATAAATATACACTGCTCAAATATTCGAAAAAAATATGTAAAGAGTCATATTCATTTTTTTTGGAACTAGCTGTATATTTTTTCACTCAGTAGTTTTATACAGGTACGGACGAAAAGTTATTACTCTTCACTCTTACACTTACTCTTGGGGTGCAAGGGGTATTGAAGCGATACATATAGCCTAGCTTACCCAAAAGTCAACCTCACCTTCACGTGGTGCACCCTGTTTACACAAACGAGGCTCTGACGTCCGAGTATAGGCGGTATAACCTTATACAACCCTCAGACCTACCATCTTCTGGGGAAAAGGAGTAATAAAATACACCTAGCCGGCCGAGAACGTAGCACAAGGGAACTATCGTCGCAGTCCTCACTGTGCCATAGCCATCCCGTGCTACAGTTGCAGCCAAAACTGTGCGGCAGCGTAACCGCCACAGTTAAACCTTTTCACGCAGCTTACACACACCAATGATGGAACATTCGAGTGGGACAAAATTATCGTCCGGAGGTAAAAATACCCCTCAATCGGATCTCCGGGAGGGGGTGCCTACTCGAGCGTATCATCGGAGAAACAAAAAACATCAATGTTTCACGTTCGCGGCGTGGAACGTCCGCACTCTACTGGACAAGATAAATTCAAATCGACCAGAGAGAAGAACAGCACTGGTCTCACAGGAACTCCACCGATTAAATATAGATGTTGCCGCTCTAAGCGAAACACGCTTTGCAGATGAAGGTAGTCTCACTGAGGAGCATTACACCTTCTTTTGGAAAGGTCATCCCAACAACACACAGGAGAATTCATGGTGTAGGCATTGCGATCAAAAACGAAATCGCCACCAAGTTAACAGAAGTACCTATTGGTGTCTCCGAACGTCTTATGACCCTAAGGTACCCCATATCAGACAAAACTTACGTCAACATCATTAGTGCCTACGCTCCCACCCTTGACGCTAAAATTGAAGATAAGGATAAATTTTACCAAGCTTTACAAAATGCCCTTCAACGAATTCCAAAGCACGAACGAATCATTTTGCTAGGTGACTTTAATGCCCGTGTAGGCAAACAACAGGAAATATGGCCTGACGTATTGGGAAAACATGGAATGGGAAACGCAAATAGCAATGGTGAACGCTTATTAACAACATGCGCAGAGTATAATCTTTGCATCACCAATACGTGGTTCATGTTGAAGGACAAGTTTAAAGGTACCTGGAAACATCCTAGATCAGGCCACTGGCATCAATTGGACCACATAATCGTTCGAAGGACGCATCTAAAAGATGTTAGGCTCACAAAGCTAGAGTAGATGCCGAATGCGGCACTGACCACCGACTTTTAATTTCAAAAATGAAAATCCAGTTAAAACCCAAACATCCACGCTGTAAAAAGCAAAACAACATGACCAGATTGAACGTACGGGGTCTAGAAAACAACAATACCGCCGACGCCCTCCGGGAAGCCATCAAAGAATCACTTCCACCGATAACTTCAATCTCAGTATTGGAAGCTGAACAAGGCTGGACACAATTAAGGGATGCGATTCATAAAACCAGCGAAGCAGTACTGGGAAAGTCGAACAAAAAGAAACAACCAGACTGGTTTGACGAAAATCAACCGCATATACAGGCTTTGTTGGAACAAAAGCATAGAGCATATCAATCCGTCACTGCAAATCCACATAATCCAAGACTGGTAGACAACTTTAAAGCAGCCAACAACACGCTTCGAAGAGAACTGCGCCAAGTAAAGGATAACTGGTGGTCACAAAAAGCGAATCAGATTCAAGAGTACGCCACGCATCACGATTATCGTAAATTCTTCGAGGCTGTAAAAGAAGTATACGGCCCAACTAAGAAGGTAAGCTGCCCAATTATGGCTCAAAATGGCGAACTTCTAAAAGAGGAAGAACAAATTAGAAATCGCTGGAAAGAACATCACAGCCATATCCTTAACCAAGAAAACAACCCCAATATGGAAGCATTAAACACAATACCTCAGTATAACAGCCTCGATGTATTAGACATCCCAATAACAGAACAAGAAATAAAGACCTCCATAAAACAGCTTAAAAACAACAAACCAGCTGGCTGTGACGATATTCCGGCGGAAATCTATAAGTGTGCAAGTAAAGAACTTATTGGTCATCTTAAGGCTCTCTTTGATGTCGTATGGGAAAGCGGAGAGGTACCTCAGGATTTTCGCAATGCGAATATAGTGAATATATTTAAGAACAAAGGAAGTGCATCAGACTGCGGAAATTACCGGGGAATTTCGCTATTGGCTATCGGCGGAAAAATTCTTGCAAAAATAATGTCAAACCGCCTGCACCCATATATAGAAAAAATCCTTCCAGAATCGCAAAGGGGTTTTCGTACCAACCGCGGCACCGTCGATTCCATATTTTCCATCCGTCAACTACAGGAAAAAGTAAAAGAGCAGGAGTCTAAACTTTATGTTGCATTCATCGATCTAACAAAAGCCTTCGACTCTGTGAACAGAGATGCGCTTTGGGCAATTATGGAAAAGTTCGGAGTACCCAACAAATTTCTTACAGTGTGTAAAAGCCTCCAAAACAACAAGTCAAGAGTGTCACATCATGGATCACTGAGAGACCCATTCCTAACAAATACAGGAGTTAGGCAGGGATGTGTCTTAGCGCCTCTCCTATTCAACATATTCATGGCAGCGCTCTCCATTATAGTGGACAGCAAACTGCAGGAGAGAGGATTGGGCATTAGATACTGATATGACGGCGGTCTGTTCAACATAAAAAGACTCAGGGCAAAAACACGTACAAAATTTATCACAGAACTTCAATACGCTGACGACTGCACTCTAGTTGCAAACACGGTACAACAATTACAAGAAATGTTGAACACATATACCTGGGCATACGAGGCTTTGAGCCTTAAGCTAAACATCGACAAAACTAAAATCATGTGCACTCACCCGGAAGATCACAACAATGCTATAAAAATCGGAGAAGAACTATTGGAATATGTGGCGGAATTCAATTACCTTGGCAGTTTGATTTCGGAAAAGGCCAATATTGACTCTGAAATTCAGCACAGGATTAGTAGCGCCTCAAGGGCATTCTGGAAATTAAAAGACAGGGTTTTCTACAATCATGACTTGAGTACAAAAACAAAACTTGCAGTATACCGAGCAATTATAATCCCCACCATGATATATGGGAGCGAAACCTGGGTGCCTTACCGCCGACACATGAACGCATTGAACAAGTTGCAACAGAGACACCTTAGACAACTCTTAAGAGTCCGGTGGTTCCATCATGTCTCAAACGTATCGGTCCTTGAAAAATCTAACTGCGAGAGTATTGAAGTCATGGTCACAAAATCCCGCTTAAGATGGGCTGGTCACGTATGCAGAATGCAAGAAAACCGCATACCAAAATCTCTGCTTTACGGTGAGCTTGTGGACGGTAAGAGGAGGCCGGGTGGACAACTGAAAAGATACAAGGACATTTTCCACGAAAATTTAAAGGGAATTAACATGCAGAATGAGTGGGAAAAAGCAGCTCACAATAGAACTCAATGGAGAAGGGTTGTAAACTCAGTTAACAGCGGCAACCAAAAAGTAGAGAGGCAACAAAGCAATGAGATTTTTGAATGTCCGGAGTGCGGTAGGCAGATAACATCACGTATCGGGCTTTTCAGTCACAGAAAAGCTCATGAAAGAAAACGCCTTGCGTGACCATTTTCTTTATGTGTGTCGAATACTCGTCAGCGAGTAACGGCTGTATGTATATGTATGTATGTATTACTCTTCAAAACAGTTAAAACACATGTAGGTGGCGCCCCCTACAAATAATAGTCATACTGACATCAAAATCAAATTTCTCATGTCAAAAAACTTCCAGACACCAATTTTCATCCAAATATTGACGTTGCTTCAGAAATTATTTGGAAAAAATCGAAATAAAAATGAAACTTCTACACCCTTATCTCCGATATTAAGCAATTTAGAACATACGTGTATACGTACTTTTTTACTTATTTTTGTTTGCAGAATATGCTGCCGAAGTTTCCGGAATACAGTTTGGACCACCCTGTATAAATATCAAAACAATAACTGAGTTCTTCTAAATCATTTTATTGAATGCCTTAATTTACCTAATTGTCCTTTTGGTATTAAATTTGTATTAAAAACAGGTTGTTGTTGGAACTGATAGTTGATCTGTGGTACTTGACCAGCTAGGTTAGCTGGTGGAGGCGCACCTGGCTGGCTTGGGGTAGCTGCGGGTACCAAATTTGGTGAAGCTGGTAAGGGTGGGTACAAAGGTGACATGCCATTTGGTCGTGGCTGCTGACGCATGTTGGAGTAGCCTATGCCACCGGAACCCAATGCAAACGCACCTAGAATCAGATTTGTTGCTACAGTTGAATAATAGATATTTTTTATACAAGACGATAAAATTGTATTTTATCGTCGACCGAAAAGATTAATTCACGAGCGATGAAATCGCGAGTGAATTAATTTCGGGAGACGATAATGCAATTTTATCGTCGTATATAAAACAATGTTTTTTTTCCATAGCGAGGTACGTTTTAAAAAATATTCAGAAATTATTATTCCAAGGAATTTATTACGAGCAGAAAAAATATTGTGATGGGTTGGCGTTGGTTTATATGTAATTTGACAAATAAATAAAGCTGTCTCTTTAGTTGTCAGTTTTGAATCAATATTTTTTAATTCTCTTTCGTGTCGATTGCTGATTGAATTGGAGTCAGAAATGGCTCAAAACGAAATAAGTAAATTGCCAACAGATATTCAGGCTGAGGCGACAAACGTCGTATCCAAACTACTTCCATTTAAATCCCGAATAACTTATGAAAAGGAATACAAAAATTTTCAAAAATGGAAGCAATTAAAAAACGTGCGAGAAGAAATAAAGTTTTTAACCTGTCCTCCCTGTTAAAGTATCATATCTACCCTTGTGGTTAAAGTACTATTTTATATATAAAGGCAATTTTAACAGTTGCTATGGACAATAGGACATTTTTTACAAGTTAAAACTCTATGTATTCTCTAAACTCTACTAAAGTCTCTTTTAAACTTTTACGGAGCACTGAGATATCCTGTATTTTCAGATGACTGTTACATTAATAATTTACATACTTTATTAATCAAAACAATAACGAATTTAAAAATTGTACTGTTGCGTACGTACTGTATGATCGAGAAAAAAGGCGTCAGAGATGGCTATGAAATAAAGATCACTCTGTCATTTTATATGTGAATTTCTTCGAATAAAAAGATTAAGGAAGGAGTATAATGCTATCCATGTATTCATGTATGGTATAATAGACTGAGGTGAGGGGTGGGGCATGGGTGGGGATCCTTGACCCTTCTATTTGACGATTCATTTGACACATTTGAATTTGATTTAAATTTATGGGGATTTGTCAGTCTTTACTGAGCTTATTTTATGTTATTTATTATTTATTCTACTATTGGTAGATAGTTGTTTAGAGGTAGTAAATCTAGAAGGATTTTTTGTGACTTAAATTAACGGTGACACTATTGCGATTTATCGAAAAAGACTCTAAAATAGTTGGTTGTGTAGCGTGCGGTAAATGTCAGTAAAGAATCACACCTCAAGAAGAAACATTTTTGGAAATTTTTGAACGCAAAATATTTATATACACGTGTTTGTTGACTTGATATTAATAAAAACAATTATTTAAAAGCACAATTGTCTTTTAAACTTTTTGCGGAATCAAAAGACTAAACCACAGACAACTAGATTTAAATTAGTTTGCGACTAAACCAGAAACTATGGAAGGCTAAACTAAAAAAAGGAGTTTACCCTTTGAGTTTACCTTTTTAAAACTAAATACATGTTTTGTTGGTTGCCTGGATATTAAATAAAACTAAGAAATAAAAGCTTCATACTTTTTTTTATATGGCTGTCACTAATCGCCCGCTGTACGGATAAACAAAATAAATGTCTGATTTTTATATCAGAATATGAGAAAATCAATTATTTATTCATTTTAATAATATAATATTAATATATTAATAATAATGAATTATAATTTATATATATAACCAACGAATATGTACAGTTTTTAATTATGAACTGTTTTAATAAACGAAACATTAAAAATCATAAACGTATTAATACTTTTTAACATTACAATAGTCTTTAAACATTTCCTGAAGTTGGTTCTGCTAGAATTCGTGCAGCAATCCAAACTATAGTTTGCTATAGTCGATTATTGTACCAATTCTATATATCCTTGATTGTACCGTATAATCGAAAAAAAACGCAACGTATAAAATGACAGAGATTCTATTTTGATGTGTTTTACAGTAATAAATTTGTCGTCATTGTATATAAAGACTCATATGGGGAATATGATCGATCGTCATTCCCAAGCCAACTCGACGCCGTTTTTTTATCATACCGTATTTATTGAGTTTCGTTTTATAGGTATAGCCGATTAATTAATTTATTTAATATCCGTTTAGCGGACAACTAGCCACTCGTATTTTTATGTGCTCCGTGACCTTCATCAATGTCAAAATTGAAAGATGACAAAGTGGGGTTAAGTTTTCAATTTTGTTATGTTTATAATTCCTTTTCGCTCCCTTACACCGGTATTACAAAAATCTGATCATATTTTTACCCAAATACTTTCAAAGAGTTCATCACAACAAAACATGGTTAAGAAAGCTTTGGTTTTTCTCGCACCAGGTGCCGAAGAAATGGAATTTGTTATTGCAGTAGACGTCTTGAGAAGAGGCGGTGTCGATGTTACCGTAGCCGGTATACCTGATAGCAATGTAGTTAAATGCAGCAGAGATGTCTACATCAAGCCAGACATTGGCGTGGCCCAGTCCAGTGCCAAAGGCCCTTACGATGTAGTTGTCTTACCTGGAGGCTTAGGTGGTTCAAAAGCTATGGCCGAGTCACAAGAAGTGGGCAATATTTTAAAGAACCAAGAATGCAGTGGTGGACTCATAGCCGCCATATGTGCAGCTCCTACAGTTTTAAAAGCACATGGAATTGCAGAAGGCAAAGAGCTAACATCGTATCCAGCAATGAAAGCACAATTAGAAGAAGGAGGCAAATATAAATACAGCGAATGCAAGGTGGTGGTTGATGGAAATCTGATTACTTCGAGGGGACCAGGAACGGCTTTCGATTTTGCTTTAACTGTGGTAGATCAACTGGTGGGTAAAGATAAAGCTGTCGAAGTTGCTAAAGCTATGTTGCTCGACTATTAAAATGGAGGAGTTTGATAAAAATGTGATGAAATTTGTGTATATTTAGTGATTATTTGTTGTAAAATTAATTAAACTTGGTTTGTATTGCATTAATATTACTTATTGAAGCACAAATAAAAATAATAATTTATATGAGTTTCTGATTTATTTTTGCTGATAACGAATTAAATAAGTTTTAAGGTTTTAACGAATTTAAAAAAGTTTTAAGGTTTTTACGATATGCATTTAGTGGTTGCTAATAGAATGGCTGTTTAAAAAATCTCGTAAATAATTTTTTTTTTTTAAGAATTACAGATTTCTTGAAAGCATCACAAAAATGTAACTGTAAAATTAATTATATTCTTTAGATTCACATTCTGATTCACATTATATGTTTTGTTATGCATTGAAATAATGATACAAAATAATACAAGTAATTTTTTCCTAAAATGTATAGTTCTTGACAAAATGGCGACTGTAAATATAATACATACAAAAAAAGGTTTTGAAATTAAGTAAGTATAAGAAATGCTGTAATTGATTAAACATTAAATAAATGATTTAAAAAAATAATGCAATATGTAAGTTACAAGAATACTGTTATATGTTATTTGGAAATATAATAAATTTAAATTTATTAAATACCACTTATTGTAAACTTGACATTAGTAGGTAGGTACATGTAAGTAAAAAAAAATAAAATAAAAAAAACTGAATGAAATTACTTACAGGTTTCTTTCAAGCTCAATATCGGCTGGCGTGATTTTATACAGAAAAAACTAAGAAACTATTAATTCCAAATAAAGTAAATAGGTAATTTTACATTCAAATGCCTTTACAATTAAAATACAGCATGCAATCATTTTTCTAATAACCTTTTGGTGACCTACTTGCTGATACTATTAAACTACCAATAAATTCATTTGAATTTCATGATATCAGACACCTATCTAACAGTTGGTTGTTCCATAAAATTTGTACGACTATCGAAATTGTTATTTTCTCGAGCATTTTGATTTATTGAATTTTATGGTAAATTAATAGTTATGTTTAATAAATCAGAAATTATATTTATATCAAGCTTATCAAGCTGTTTGTGTCAAATAAAATAATTAGAATAAGTAGTGTTGTCAACCTTCAGGTATAAATAAACAAGAAGTCTTTGGAGTTGGACGTTGACATGTGACATAAAAAAATGCAATAACACAAAACATTGTCTATCTTGGTATATTCTTTGCATACACCTATTTATTAGAATAATTTAATGTATCTATTTCTAAAGAAGATTTTTTGTTATGGGATAGTGTAGGTGCAGTAATTCATTATTTTACAGATATATTAACTAATAAAAGCCTCTATTAGAGGTTTGCACAGTATAATTAATCTTTTATAGCTATCAGAGTGTACAAGGAGAACATTTTATATGCATATTACAGAATAATACCTACAAAACAAGGAATTTTAATGACTTATCTACCTCTACGCCTGTTCTGTATTTATATGTAAGTAGATCTATTGGTTTTCTTTATCTCTTAGTAATATTTAGTTTTACTCGTATATAAAGAGTAAACGAAAGAATGCAAATAAATATTGGAATGTGCTTCTGCTTCTTGAAAAAATTACACAATTTTTTTATATAAAAAATATTTCGGGTTGCCTTGTTTCTTCAGGGGAGTCTTAAATAAGTGCAAATAGTTTTAAGGGTAGGATATTTCGGCCCTAGAAACATGTCATGAGATTTTTTGCGAAAGAAAATTATTAACTTTTTAAATTTTAGAAACTAAAACTCGTTTTAAGTTAAAAAACATAACTTCTTGATATATTGTAACATATGTAGTAGATTTAGGTACAAGATAGAAAACCCAGAAAATATCCAGTAGTTTTCAAAATTTAAGTAATTTCTTTTTTTTGAAATTTTCAAAGTAAAATATCTCCGTTATTTTAGACTTAAGCGGCCCTCACACGATCAATAATATTGTCAATATTTTGGATTATTGACAATATTATTGAGTGTTTGAGCGTAGATATTGATGTACTTTCAATATATTGATGGATTTTCGGGTCCCTGAAAATACTAGTCAATATTAAAGGCGGAGCTAGTATTATTGACAATATATTGACCGTTAGGTCGCATGATTGACAAGATTTGACTAGTTTATTTAATCTATGGCTTATTTGTAACCATGGCGGAAGACAGAACATCGCCGTCGTTGTTTTCGGAAGATGAATCTGAGATTGAAACAAAAAGTGAACGAGAAATATTACAAATTTTTATAGATAGTTATCGTGAAATGCCAGAACTATGGGATATTTCGTCAAACGACTACTCCAACCGCGACAAAGAAAAAGAAGGTTATAAAAAATTATTAAACATTTATAAAAAATTAAAAAAATGCGGGAATAGAAGATGTGAAAAAAAAAATCAATTCGTTAAGAACAAATTTCCGAAAAGAACTAAAAAAAAAAAGACTCTCAACGCACAGGAGTGCAAGTGCAGACATATATGAACCTTCGTCTTGGTTGTTTTGGAACTTCAATTTTTGAAAGATGTAGAAAAGCCAGATAAAACGAGATCAACCATAAATGAAACAATAGAGGTAAGTACCTATTAATAGTTTTTATTTTATTTTAAAAGGATTATATCTATTCTTATACCTAACGCTTTATAAATGCGAATACTGCGACAAAAATAGTTGAAATAATCCTCAAAATAAAGTATAATATAATATCTATATAACAGTATGTTGCCAATCTACTTGTCCTTCTTGATTAAAATAATTTCGATAGAGATCTCTGATTTCCTTTGCTCTGTTAGTAGGGTTTCTAAATAATCCATGTTTAAGTCCTGTAAGTGTAAATTCCGTTCTGTCACATCCTGTGTCACATTGCCCAGTGGTTATATTCTCAGATATTAAAGTATTTTTATAATAATCAACAGATCCTTTTCGCATTAAAAATTATGTAAATAGCAACAAGCTATTGTAATAGTCGCGACTTTCTCCGGGGACAATTTTATGGGTTTTGAAATATTCCAAATCTTGTTACAAGTATACCAAATGCATTCTCTACAACTCTCCGGGCTCTAGAGAGTCGGTAATTAAATATGCGGTCGGTTCGTGTTGCATGTTCACGATTATATGGTTTCAGGAAATTATTACCCATTTGAAAAGCATCATCTCCTAGAAAAACGTAAGGGTATTTGGTGTTAGTATGTGGTATACTTGAAGGTTCTGGAATGTCTAACAAATTATTTTGAAACAATTCCCAAAATGTTGTATTGTGAATAGCTCCACCATCCGAAACTCTTCCGTTTGTTCCGCAGTCTACCATTATAAATTCGTAATTAGCGTTGACTATAGCCATCAGCACTATACTAAAGTATCCTTTGTAATTAAAGTAACGAGAACCGGAATTTGCTGGTTTCACAATATTAATGTGTTTTCCGTCAACAGCGCCAATGCAATTCCAAAACTGCCATTTTCTACCAAATTCTAATGCGACATTTCTCCATTCATCTTGAGTTCTTGGAAGCTGTAAAAAAAATATATTATTGTTTTTCAGGTTACATCTGAAGATCTACATACATCAAAAAGAACAAAAACCCAGGCAAAAACACCAGACAACAAACAGTTGTTGGCACTAGCATGCAAATACCTTTCGGAGGACGAAAAGTATGTAGAGGAAAGTCAGATTGCTAAAGTCTGGGCAAACAAACTAAAAGCTTTAGCACCCCAACAAAGGTTATTTGCTGAAAAAGCAATCAATGATATTTTTTTTGAAGCAGCGCTAGGAAATCTAAATCGTCACTCAGTAAAAATTAACGTGGCGGCTGAAGCAACTGGTTCACGACCACTATCAGCCGATAGTTGGACATCATCCATTGACCGTGGGAAATTTTATTCTACAAATTATGTTTCAACACCACTGCAGTCACCACTCACACAGCAAGAACATGAAGAATATCTAGTACTGCCAGAACATGTTACTTACTACGCACATACCTAATAAAAAGTTACAAATTATTGTATTTTAAACTTACTAACCTTGATGTAATCCTTTAAAACTCGAATTATGGCTTCACAAGTCTCCATAACTATTTCACTAATGGTTGTTGGTGAAATTATTGTTGAAAATTTTAAGTCCTCAAAGGATCTTCCTGTTGCCAAAAATCTAAGTGTGACGGCAAATCTTTCAGTTGCTGGTATAGCTTCCCGCATATTCGTGTTTTCTTTGGTAATATAAGGAGTGACCAAATGAAGCAATAGATCATATATTTCGCCATTCATTCTGAAGTAATTTTTATAATCATCAGGCTCCTGTTTCTTAACGTAGTCTAGAAGATTTAGGTGACCAAACTTTTCTCTTTTTGAAATCCATTTTTTTATCCAACGCCTTTTCTTAACTTTTTTCTCACTTACATGTGCCAAAATGATGCAACACATGCTTTTTTCTTATGGTTCATTTGTTGGCACGATATTAACACTTAATATCGACACAAAACGTAAAATATAAATATTGATATGTGTATTGACCGTGTCATGTCACCTTTCAAATATTGATAAAATATTGACAATAAAAAACATTGACAATATTATTGATCGTGTGAGGGCCGCTTTATTTGAAAAACGGCGAAGAGAAATTATGTTTCTTTTATCGAGATCTACCAGCCCTGAAAATGTCTGCTCTTATGTAAGACTCGCCTTGTATAGTTTCCAACGATTTGTTCTAACTACTTATACTTTCACATTTCAATTTCAAAAATACCCAGTTTCAGATTCACACTGTATTTTCTCACTCCTACTATAATTGCATTTTTGAAAAATCAAATGTTTATCAAAACAAGGTATTTATATGCAAGGTTATGCATAGTATTCGGGGGAGACAATATAGGTATTTTCGAATCAATGGATATAAAATTTATTATACGTTACCATTTCCTAGATTTATAACACCCAATGCACCTGAGCCCAAAAATACCGCCCCGTTATTAGCTGGTACATTTGCAGCAGCAGCATTTACTGGTATTGCTGGTGGTGGTAACAATGGTATTATTGCAGTTCCTGCAAAAAAAATAACCAACTTTTTATATATGCCACTGTAAATGTCCGAAATGCGGCAAAACCTAGGATAAGCGCGCTAAACCTAGGATTTAGCAAAAGCAAGTGGTAAAAGCTCGAAAACTTCTTTATTTTGCTTCCATTTCGGACTTTTATCGGACCCAAACAGTAAATCTTAGGATTTACCACACCGCATTGGTAAAAGTACGAATTATTTTTTTTATAGCAACAATATCGACGAATTAAGGATGTCGATATACAAAGACATCTCTGTTTTTGTTTATTTAGGCATTTAAATTTTAACGATTATCGTTTTACGATATCGATTTTTGTAACGTATCAGTCTTATATTTATTAGACAGTTAAAGCACGGTCAAAGACATAGACGTAAACGTATCGTTTGACATGTACGCTTGCGCAGTGAGAAATTCACTTGCGTTTACGGATACGTGATACGCTTGCGTGATACGTATCTTTACGTGCCTTTACGTACGTACAAAACGCAAACGCATCGAGCCGAAGGAGTTTCGATTTTCACCCGAATGATGCCGAACGTACAAATTCACAAACAACTCGTTTCCACAACTGGCTAGTAATTAAGTTATTTCATAAATGTTGGGGCCAGTGTAACAGAACTGGGCCTATTTTATTACAATAAATTAGTATGAAAATATTAAGCATCATAATAAACTTATTTTGGAATCTATTTAATTAAATGCTAGTTCTTAGCCAAAATCCATATGAGGATTTTAAAAGATGGAATCTAATAAATAATCATAAAACTGTGTCTGTTTTCCAATATTTTTTATTACTAAGAGCATTTTAAGTTGTAAGTACTACTTTCTGTAATAAAATAATTTCCATTTATAATTTTCTTCATGGTTGGAACTTTTATAAATTTAATGTGGAATCATTGGAATAATAGATATCCATTTTCAGTTTTAAAATTAAATAAATTGTTTCACAAAATAATTTAGAATTACAAATGTACCATTTGCGTTACGTACATCAAAATACTTGCTTTAACTCTTGTTTACACGACAACGCAACGACAGACGTAACGTAGGTTTCTGCGTTACGTGTCGAGAGATACGTATACGTATTGTGCCTTGCTTTAACTGTCTATTACTGTAAATGTCCGAAATGCGGTAAAACCTAGGATAAGCGCGCTAAACCTATAGGATTTATACCAAAAGCATTAACTAATTAGGTTAGCCTGGTTATGTGAAGGGTGTTAATGCATTCATTAGCCTGGTCATTTGGAGGGTGTTAATGCATTGGTTAGCCTGGTTATTTGGGGGGTGTTAATGCATTGGTTAGGTGGTTATTTGGAGGGTGTTAGTGCATTGGTTAGCCTGGTTATTTGGAGGGTGTTAATGCATTGGTTAGCCTGGTTATTGTGGGGGGTGCATATTTTTTGTTAGAACCATTTTCTCCTATCTGCCAAAATAAAGTGGTGGGGGAAGGTTAGATCTGTTTCTATTTAAACATTAGCTTGTTTAAAAAAGCGTTTTTGACTCTATATTATAGCGTATAAACAATAATAATAAGTTTTTAAATGTAGACGCTAGGGGGCGCTGTCTTACAATTTAACAAACATTGCGCGTTTTAAAAAAAAATTAAATGCGATAGTATATATAAGTTTAGCTGATAGTAAAGAGTAATAAAAGCTCAAAAAGTCAGCGAAAACCGCATCTTGATATTCTCTTTCAAACCGAAGATATTAGCAAAATTATAATAAATACGAAAAAAATAGGCCCTTAATTACCTAACTTTTTAACACACATTGGTTAGGTGGTTATTTGGTGGGGTTGGTTGGTTTTTACTACCACTTGCTTATTCGTACTTTTACCAATGCGGTGTGGTAAATCCTAAGATTTACTGTTTGAATCCGGTAAAAGTCCGAAATGGAAGCAAAATAAATAGTTTTCGGGCTTTTACCACATGATTTTAGTAAATCCTAGGTTTAGCGCGCTTATCCTAGGTTTTACCGCATTTCGGACATTTACAGTAACATATATATTAGTCAAATTTAGTAGAAACATTTGGTGTTTTTTTACAACAATAAAATTACACATGTCTATCCATACATATCTTCCATAACATAGATTAATCACAGCCTATTTATAACCAGCGTGTCTATTTACGATCATTTGTATTGAACTTTAGTTAGTTAGTTTATTTAAGTTAGTCTTTTTAGTTAAGTTATTGGGGTGAGCCACTTTAGAGAAATATTATTTCGATAAGTTCTTTTTAGTTGATAAATACTAGTTAGATACCATGAAAATATCGTCTAGGATGAAGAAAAAAAAATTCTGGAAAAGTTTGATCTATTAATATTAATATTAAGAGGTTTGGTTGTAGTGTGATTTAAATAATAAGTGCAACACATTTTTGTGTTGTAAATATCAATACATATTCTTGTAGGAAATTGAACGATCTTCAAAAAAGGTCTGTTATGCTTTTTCATTAATCGGCTCATTTGACAGTTATTGAAGGTCTACAAGATTTAATTAATAAAAAAAATATTATCTAAAAAGCTATATTATCCTATACAGGGTGTCCCAGAAATAAGTGCAAGTATTTTAACTGGTAGTGTAGTTCAACCCCAGAAACATGCCTATGAGGTTTTTTTCGCGAAAAAAAAAAATTGAAAATTCGAAGTTTTTTGGATTTTTTTTTAGTTTTTAGTTAAAAAAAATTCTTGATAATATGGAAACATAGATATTACATTAAATTTACAAGAAAGAAAATCCAGAAAAGATCCAGTGGTTCTCAAAATTTTAACAAAAAATAATTTTTTTGGAAATTTTCGAAGTAAAATAACTCCGTTATTTTGGACTTATTTGAAAAACGATAATGAGAAAGTATGTTTCTTTTATCGAGATCCTACCACCCCTTAAAATACATGCACTTATTTCTGGGACAGCCTGTATATCCCTTCGTACGACAGCTTTTCATCAATTGAGAGTAGTGATGGTTTCGTTTGTATTTCACTTTCACTGGAAGAAATCAAATTACACTAAAACTAAAAGAACAGCTCGGACAGTGTAGCGTGCCGCTTTGATCTTTTTACGCTCGGATTTGCGATTCCAAAGAGGGAGAACACTAGAGCGGCGAGCTCTCTCGCCACAACCAATAGCCGCGTAAGCGGCAGTCAGCCCAGAGATGTATTAAAAAAAAATTTACACGTGACGTAAAAAATTATTCGTATATATATGCATTCTCATGCATAAATATGCATTCTCAAAGAAAAACATTTAAAAAACAAATTAATTAATTTATTTCTAGAAATAACAGCAAAATGAAATAGGTACATTGATTACTTATAGTTATTTACGAATGTTTCCAAATTAGGAGCTTTCGGTTTTTGTTTGCTACATTTAAGTTCTTATTAATATTCTTTAAGATATTAATAAATTAACTTTTGCGTATAATTTTAACAAAAAATACATTGTAGGAAAATTTTGACAAGGATGGTTGAATTTAATTGTCTGAAATAATTTAACGAATTTACATAATATATTTTCATTTAAGGAAAGTTCTTCAAAATTGTTCTGATAAATTTTATAAAAAAACTTTTTTAAAAATAAGTTTTTATAAATACACTAAAAAGAATAAAATAAACTTTTTCTTTAAAACTTTTATTATGAACTTATAACGTCATTACACAATTTTAATATTAATATATAAAAGCTTGCCGCGAGATTTGAGTGTACAGTTGCACTCATAAAAATCTGGTACGACAACTTTATCTTGTAATTCCTGGTCTAGTGGTCTATCATAACACAAACTTTGAAAATGAGATAGGGTAGACACAGGTTTTAGTTAATTTACTTGTTTATCGATGTAGAGAAATCTCGCGACAAGCTTTTATATAATATTAAAATTGTGTAATGGCGTTCATAATAAAAGTTTTAAAGAAAAAGTTTATTTTATTCTTTTTAGTGTATTTAAATTTAAATAAAAGCTTGTTTTTAAATTTTTTTTTTTGTAAAATTTATTTTCTACTTTTTAGTTATGCTGGTTTCTCAGTGCCACGCATTTAAACTCAATTTTTTTCTTAAATAACTTTCTATGGGCATCCTAATAATATGTATATCGATTTTCATTAAAAAAGGAGAACTTAAAAAAAACGACAGCTGTCAAATTTGACAGTTCAAATGTGAGACAAATAAAATGAAAACCGACTATGGGGTAGGGGGCATCCAATATATCGATTTTTATCAAAATCGGACAAATTTGAAATTTTTTTGACAGCTGTCAAGTTTGACAGCTCAAAATTTTTTTCTTTCATTTTAGCCCATGGCCATCATCGATTTTTATCCAAATCGGACAACTTTGAATTTTTTTTGACAGCTGTCAAATTTGACAGCTCAAAATTGTTTTCTTTCATTTTCGCCCATGGCCGTCCTATATATCAATTTTTATCAAAATCGGACAACTATGAAATTTTTACAAAAAACAAAAATGCAGATGCATGCTACAAAAATATTTTAACTGAGACAAATATGTTATTTTTAAAATATTTATAAATCTTTTATAAAACAGTTTTATAAATATTTTGTAATGTACTCAATATTATTTTGTAAGCGTTATCGGAGAGTTTTTAACGTACTTCTAAATAAGTATATTGTTTTATAACCTGCGCCTATTTCGTGTTTATAACTATCGTATTAATAAAAAAACTAAAAATAGGATATTTTAAGTTTTTGAGCCATTATTTCATAATAAAATATAAAAAATTGTGGAAGTTACCATATACGATTTGCAGTTGAAATTTAACCTTTAATAACTTTCAAACGGGAAGATTAAATGAAAAATCATATCAGACCTTTTTTCAGGACCGTTCAATTTCTTACAAGCAATAAAATTTTAAAAAACGCAATAAAATTTAAAAAAATGTTTCTCCGTGTTATTTAAATGGGAAAAAGAAAATCCCGATTAGACACTTCTTAAATCAATCAATATGAAGAGCTCAAACTTTACCAGATTTTTTTTCATCATCGTGAACGATATTTTCACTGTAATTCAAAAGATTTTTTTTTTGATGAACCCTATGGTATAGTAATACATATTTAGATTGAAATAATCACCTGCTGGCTGTTGAGGAATTGGTTCTTGCGGTTCTTGTACAGGTTTTTCGATTGAATTGGACAAAACGGGGGCTATGCTGGCTTTATTGGCTGCTAGAAGGTCTCCTAAGAATTTATAAGAAAATATATCATTATTTAAAAATTGCTAATGACTGAAAAAACTAAAAGAGTAACTCTAAATATTTTATTAGAATCCAATTTCATATATTCATATCAAATAAACTTTTTGTCACGTGATTATGCTGGACCGGCACAGCGTTGCCCACTTTTACATAATTTCTTTTAATCGAAATATTTTAGGAAACAATAATAAATTAATTATAAATATATAAACAGTTATCATTTACATCATCAAAACTCACCTCCTTAACAGCACTTAAGGAATATAAAGGGTCATTACTACCGTCACAGAATTTGCGTATTCTGTGCTACCGCTTTGCCGTTCAAAATATTCTAATAAAGTTTCGATGACTTTTTTAAGGCCATTAAGTTATCTTGTACACTTCGCACGAAAAGAGGTTCTATAAAGAACAATGTTCGACTGCAATGTCTGCTAGTGAAAAAATTTAAGCTTAAATTATCACAACACAATTCAGTTCATTAAAGTGTCAAAACGAATGACAACGTCAGAAAATAAATAAATAAATGTAGATTTGATCGTCTAATATTTTTAGTGTCTTGTCCTGGCCGGTTAAAAGATGCCCAAATCGTATTTTTAATCATATCTCAATTTTTTCAAATGGAACGAGGGTGGCTCATTAGCATATTTAGAAAAAGCATTTTTTTACGAATAATTTGATACCACACACTTGGTATTTTGAGTTAAATTGTCGTTATGAACCGCATGTTACAATTTCAAATAAACCATAAATATAGCAAAATGTCAAAAGTTGACATATGATATGTCATTCGATTCAGAGTGTCATTTTCTATGGAATAAAGTAAAAAATACCTAGGTTGCCATTTAAAAATCAAAAGTTGTAGTCATTTCCGGTGAAACCGGAAGTGACCGAAAACAATAAAATTGAATACGTCAATCAATCCCAATTTATGTCATATACTAACATACCAAATATCGTTGTTTTATCTGAAAAAATAAAAAAGTTATAGGGGTGAGCTCCTTTTGAGACGCACCCGGTATAGAGCGTCGGCTACCTCTTGCATGTACTTGTGATGTGTGTCATCAGTGTTTCACAAGTATACATTGTACAGGGTGGGTCAAATTCGACGCTTTTAAATGGAAACACCCTTTTCTATAGGAGATAGACGAAAACTAATATCGGTGTCTGGAGCTCAATTTTCATCAAAAACATGATGGTGAAAACCACACATCAATATCTGTTACCGTTTTGGAGTTACGGGGTGTTTTTCAAAAATTTGCATTTTTCACAAATCGCTGTAACTTTTTTGCCATGGAAAATTTTGAAAACATTTCCAAAGCACCTTTTTACGTAGAATTTGATGGTTTAAGTATAATTTTTTTAAAATTAATAATTTAAGAGTTATCAACAGAAAAATTGATTTTTTATTTGAGACACCCTCTATATTTTTAATTAACTGAAAAGAATTTAAAATTACCTTTCCAAAAATATAGCACACTTGATATTTTGTCATAATCCCTTTCGAAATACAGAATTTTTAAAAGTTCGCCACTTTTAACTAGTAGACTTTGGACCCCTTATTGATAATAAGCCCTTAATGGAACTCGAAAACATATTTTTCCAGCAAGACGACGCACCGCCTCTGAACGCTGAAGTTATCAGCAAATTTTTGCAGCCAATTTCAAGAATAATTGGATAGCTAACCAAGATCACAGCCGTTGGCCGCCGAGGCCGTGACTTAGTGCCCATGGATCTAATCCTATGGATATATTTGCGGAAGAATAATCCTTATTCTTCCGTATAATCTAGACAAGAACTAAAAATACTTAGCAGTTATGAGAGGGTACCTTTCAACCCCACTGAGTTAATGAATTTCGCGAGAAATTTTCAAAAACGGCCCCGTTTGTCCATAACAGAAGACGGTCGATATGTCGAACACCTGAAGCAAAATCTCATGTCTCGGTTTGCTATTTATTTTTATTGTCATTAGATATAGTTTAAATGTGTTAATGTTTGTGAAATATAGTTTAAATTGTTATAAAATTCTGCATCTCTCATTGCAAATATTATTTTCGTTTTAATTGCTCACCGGCTAGTTTTTTTTGCATTAGAGCCGGCGCCATTCAAAGCCTACTTATACAAAGTGGGCGAATTTTAATAAACTCTATATCTCGAAGAGAAATTGAGCAAAATATCAAGTATGCTATACTTTTGGAAAGGTAATTTTAAATTATATTCAATTAGTTAAAAATATACAGGGTGTCCCATTTAAAAAATCAAATTTTCTGTTGATAATTCTTAAATTATTAATTTAAAAAAAATATACCTAAACCATTAAATTCTACGTAAAAAGATGCGTTGGGAATGCTTTCATAAAAATTCAAACAGCGATTTGGTATAAATGCACATTTTTGAAAAACACCCCGTAACTCCGAAACGGTAACAGATATCGATATGCGGTTTTCACCATCATGTTTTTGATAAAAATTGAGCTCCAGACACCGATATTAGTTTTCGTCTATCTCCTATGGAAAAGGATGTTTCCATTTAAAAGCGTCCAATTTGATCCACCCTGTACAGATACCTAATAATCATCTTATATCAAAGATTCCACCTTTATATTGTTGGAAAGTAATACTTGACTTACCTTTTGGAATCGGTAAGAAGGAGTCTACTTCCAAGCTGTAAAGTTGGGGTGCTCTATTAGGAATCTTCAGTGATTCGAAATTTTCAAAACTTGGACTGGATGTCAAAGGAAATGTGGCCCTTTTGTCTCTATCGTCTGTTTTGGATGATCGACCAAGACCAACTAATGCTAGTGTAATTAATATCTGAAAAAGAGAGCAAATGTTTAGGTACAGCTTACTCACTAACCAGCTAGTCAACTCCGCTTATTTTCGCGTACCCGCGCTTGATTTGGCTTGTTTAAGAGTCTATTGGCTGTAATGTTCGGGTCGCTCTCATGGGTCGGTTAAAGCGGGTGTGTGCCCGAAGGAAATATATATATTATATTTCAGAAATCTTACTTAATGCTTAGCCCGATCCTGTCGTGTTAAGCCACATCCAAAATTTCAAACACAGGTGCTTTGATTAAGGTTTGCAGAGCTTCAGAATTTGCCATAAAATAGCGAGCAATTTGTTACCAAACCATATAAATTATATATCACTGTAATCACAAAACTTCAATCTATTTCCGTATTGTAACGGAATTTTAAATTATGTCTTTATTTTCGAGAAAATTTAGTCCAAACATAAGGAATATTTTGTTGATGTTTGAAAATTTTAAAAATAAAGAAGTTGTCTAAAAATGTGCTACAATACGGATATAATACAATCCTTTATCTTTAATTTCCTTCTTCATTTGTCCAAAAATACCTAGCCAGTTTTACATAAAACGTTAAATGCCTAACGCTTATTTGAAAAAGTGAGCTAATTTCCTAATAAGCCTATTTTAATTTTAAAAGCGAAAACTACAAAATACTTAATATAAATCAAATGACATCTAAACACGCTTTTCTATTTACACTTTTTTGTAGCTTTTATATTATAATATAGGGAATCGATAAACAAGATAGGTATTGTTAATATATTTTAATTAAGGTTTATGAAATTAATGAACACAGTTTTGTTGATTATACTAAGGGTCGGCATTTCTGGTCTTGGGTGCCGGTTTTCATGTGTACGAAGAGTACGGTCAACACGCTTAATAAAATAAGATGTAGTGAATAAAGACAGAAGGCGAGTATTTTCCCAAGCGCATGAAATCAACTCAGATTAAGTAGTTATGTAATCAATACTTCGTATTTTTGCTCACTCCGACTTACTAGATTGCCATAACGACTCACTCCTATACATGTCAACGCCGACCTAAAGGTTTGCTTGCCAGCGGGGTATACTAGGTACTTGAATAAAATATATTTTGCTTTATACTCAAAAATTAAAGGACATACATTATTTATATTAAATTTGTCTTATTGTAACGCTATTAGCAGTTAAAAACAATAAATATGTATTATATAATTAGAGTTTATCGAAAATAAAAATAGGTATAGTTTTTCATATTAGTTCGTGATTAGAAATTGCCCCGTACAGTATTCATTAATACGAATGTGTTCTTTTCGTTGGGGGCACAACTTGTTGTAGTGCAAAGAAGGCGAATTTTTTAAGTTGCTGTGTTGTAGTAAAATGCAGAAACAATTCAAACAATTATTATTGTGTATGTGCCCAGGTACGTATTGCTAGGTTTAACATAAAATTTTAAGGTGTTATACCGTGCTGGCAACTGTTACTTTTGGGTCGGCGTTTACATGTGTAGAAGTAAATAGCATAGGGATCTTATTAAGTCGGAGTGAGAGAAATGCGACCGACCGACGCGACGCGCGACGGTGTGCTGTTGCGGCGTTGCCGATACGCCTTTCCTTATCAAGTAAAGTAAAATCACGATCTCAAACCGCTTATTTTTAAATTACTTTTTTTTCAAGAGATAGCTAGATAAAATCATTAGACATTTTTGTGAGCATCTGCAATGGAGTTATGAGGATATCGTTAGGGTGTCATTTTTTTATAACGAGAAAACTTCAGTAATCGCGATAATTTAAAAACTCAACTTTTTAACACATAACAGGCCATAACTCAAGACCGCTTTAGATATTGAAACTTTTTTTATTTTCAAGATCGGATATTTTACAATATGTTTACATAAGAAAAATTCGATAAGGTTGTTTTTTCCATTCAAAAATTGTAAACAATCCATCCATTTACTTTTAGAGCATATCAATTTTCAGCAACCGTGTAATTTTTTTATTGATAAAGATTTTCACATACTGTCTACAAAGAAAATACAGCAGAAATATTAACAAAGTTCTTGAAAAAACTACAATCTATTATTTCTAATAGATTTCGAGATATCGATTTTTGAATTCAGAGTTCTAATAGCGCGACCACTATCGAACACCGACTCAATTCCACTTATTTTTACCAAAAATGCAAGTGTTTCTAGCTTGCACTTAAAAAAATTCAAGCTAGAGGAAAAATTACAACGACTCGTTAATAAATAAACAAATCAAGTATCACGAGACGTAATTAAATCGTGAAGCTAAACGCATGACATACACCTTTCCCTAAAACTTTAAGTTCGGACAGAGGTATTGATTGGGTCGACCGGTCAACCGCGACAAATCTGCTATATCCCCTTCCACGTGCTTCCACGTCTCTTAGCGATGTGCACAGTTTCTCGGTTTATTTCATACGTTTGGCAACGTGTTTACTGTCCTCTCTGTTTAGTACATTATAAACGCATTGTACTCTTCTTACATACAGAAATCTCGACCCAAGACTAACCTTTGCCAGCCCTTAGTATGTATACTCATTAGCAAAATATTTACTGGAAATAAGGGTTACGTTAACTCGTTCTGATTCATAAGCTCATTTAACTAATTTTGACTCCAAAAACACGTAATGCCACGTGATCAAAACTAAACAACGTCAAGATGTCGAATGAAAAGGAATCAAACCAAGCCATCCCTGACGCCGTTTTTTCGTTCAATCGTATTGTAGTTTTGTGCCTATGGAATAGTAGAACATACTTTATATGGCCTGGCCTGCTGTAGTTAATATTTTTTTATGCTCGAACCATGCTAGAACTAAAATGTCAATTTTAGGGCTACTGCGATGTAATTATTATGGGATCACATGGCATTTAATATTGTTCTTACTCTATACTTCCTATTCATCTTTACATAAGTAAGCCCTGAATTTACAGCCCTTTACATAAGTAAGCCCCATTATCATAGTCAATAGTCTCATATAGTCAAATAGTCTGTATAAAAAAAACAAAGTTAATTATTAAGCTCATTTTCTGTTTGTTGAGAGATCTGTGTCTCTTTTAATTTATTTGGCTGATGAGAAATAATGAAACTGTAGTGCTTGATGAAGAAATTACTTTCACCCAGCAAAAAAATGTATGTATGTTGTCACGTTAATAATCTCTTTTTTTTTCTGAAAGTAAAATTATGGTAAATTTACATGATGAACATATATTATGATATGGTATAATTACTTATCCGGTAATAATAATTATTCAAGCGCCATAAAATCCTTTTAAGGACTAATAAAAATAAATTAAAATATTACTTTCCATTTTCTTTCTATATTTTTTAGATTAATTACATTTTTATGAAAATATATGAAAATTCTCATCATTTGTCAAGAGTTTGTTTTGTTTTTTTCAAAAAATGAACACTTTTTATATTTAAACGTATTTCAAATCTTTTAACGGTTTCGCAGTAAACTTTTATCAAAGCCACCCAATGATTTTTTTCTCGCATTTTACCCTTGAAAGAGCCATATTAAACCGCGAATATTTGCGAAACCGCTAAAAATTTTGAAATACTTTAAATGCAAAACATGTTTATTTTTTAATTCTCTATCTAACGAAGAAATAATATACAGGGTGTTCCATTAAAAAAAAACGAAAAAAAAACTATTTTATATTTTAAAAATATTGGCATACAATTTTGTACACCCTGTATGGTTTAAAATTACGATATTTGTGTCAAAGTAAGTACAGACCCACTAGAGTAAATACCTAATATAGTTTTGATTTCAGGACATTTCTAATATTTTTAATAATTTTTATAAAAAAACTGAAAAAAAATATTTTTTTATTTATTTATTAATATCTTTGTAACTGTCTAAACATATTTAATAATTTCTTAGGATTATATAAAGTGATTGCCGGACGCTGTATATTTTCTTCTGGATAAACAATATAAGAAAATTTTATAAATATTTTGAATCAATAAAGAAGGGTTATTTTAAATAGACAAAATCATACTGATTTTTTTTATATTTCACTTTATAATTACTGTTATTTCCATTCAAATTGTTTTTTTAAATTATCAAGGATATACCACAATTCACTGGGTCACTCATAAATTTAAATTAAATATTCAGTTATAGTTTGACTGTATTAAACCATTAATTTTGTCAAATTGTTTCAGAAAGTGAACGTAAAAAAATAGTTTTGGCTTTGATAAACAAATTATACCTGTCTATCCTTTTCAAGGATTTGAAATTAAACATTAAGTAAATTAAAACACTATGTATGTGAAAGAAAAATAATATCTTAGATTTATAAAGAAAAAATATTATTTATTGGGATTTTATTTAATTTGAAATCCATTTTAAACAAAAAAGAAACCAAAACATTTTGATTAGACAAAAAAAATCATTTATGAAGGGAGAGGGTAGTGTTCACCCTTCTTGTATATATTATAGTGTTACGTCTTTCGTCGGTTCCGTGTGGATAGAAAGTCACAATTTATTTAAACACAATTTATTTAACACTAATTAACAAAAACAATAACGATAAAAGACTTAAAGAACTATTTACAAACGATTTATAATTATTTATCTAGAAAGAATTTATTTTGAATTTTAGCGCGTCAACTGTACTCGTCTATTTATATCTGTCCTCTTCAGGCCACAGCCGCCGGCTTTTATACCCACAGCTAAAGATCAGGGTTAGGAAAACTACATGTTACTTTTAAAAACTACATAAACTACATTACATGTAGTTAACGTAGTTTATGTAGAGGGTGTAGTTTATGTAACCTATGTATGTAACTTTCAAAGGTAATGGTGTGGATCCGGTGGCTGACCTTGAAACGAGTTTTTGCTGCATATAGTCACAGACACTACGCATGCGCACATCTTCGATGTTGCCAGATTGCAAGTTATTTTGGAACTATTTTCAGTAGAAAACAAATATATGTTTTCAGTGTTTTTTTGTCAATATATACCGTATGATCAAAAAAACGGCGTCCAGTTG